TCTTATTTTCACCATTAGGGTTCCTCCATGTCCACTTGCGGTTTTCTAGTTTTCGGTAGAAGGGATTCAAAATCCGCAAATTATTGCGTTCTGCGAATTCTACTAGTAGCTCTCCTCTGGCGTTTCTAGTGCCGATGCCATAATCTCCTACTGCCTGGTCTCCAGCCTGCTTCTTTCCTACCTTTGCATTAAATTTGCCCATCACTATAGTATACTGTGTTTTTACCTTACTCATTGCCGATTCCACGTCTTCATAGAAGCTTTCATCTGAAGCGTCATCATGGCTGGATGTAGGCGCGTAACCCTGTACTACCTTCATCTTGTATCTTTTATTCAGTTTAATTACAGTACCTACACCCTTTCATTAATGCTATACTATTCCTCTATGTTGCCAGCTATGTTTCTGTGAATTAGGAACCCCACTTCCAGTTCTCTTCTGTCTGCCAAGCCCCGATAGCAAAGGACATGCCCATTCTGTAGCACAGTATAGGACTCATCGGTCCTCCTAACCTCACTAAGCCCTATTATATCCCATTTAACACTCTCTAGCTCCTCGAATAGTACAGCTAGACTTCCCTCTCTAGATAAGGTTCTAGCGTTAAACGTTGCCAAGTTCAGGTTTTAATGGCGGCCTGTAGTCCAGAGATTCTTAACACCCTCTGCTGCGTTGCAGATCTGACCGCCGCCATGGTCAGTTGCTTCGCAGCTGCTGTGGACTGAGGGCCGTGAGTTATTTGACGTACGCATGTGGGAGGTAGTGGCCAGATACTGCACCAGGGTGGCCAAACCTTCTCTGGTGAGGGAGTGCGTTCCCGGCGGTGGTTACCGGTGAGGCCGCACCCCAGGCCTGTTAATGCAGTTCCATCAACACGCGGATTTTTTTCCGGTTGGGAACTGCGTGGCACCGGGGTTTGAACCACGGACCTCTTGCATGCGAGGTGGATGCTCTAACCACTACGCGATCGCCGCACCCGGATTGTTATGTTCTAAATGTAGGTTTCAGCGGTGTATCAGTCAAGTTTGTGGTTATTTTTATAAAAATGTTATAATAAAATGAGATTTCTGCTGATTACCCCCTAAATTAAGGGTGTAGAGAGTAGGGAGTTGGGCCTCCGATTAGGCTATGGGGTGCTGTTTATTAATATATTAAGCGGACAAAGTTTAAATTCGTTTGTGAGGTGATGTTGCCAAATTAATTTTTTTTAGTGATTAGGCTTAATTTTGGTCACGAATTAGTTTCGGTACTATTACTCCTGTCCTGATGAAACCTGAGCGGTGACAGGTCTACAACTAGGGCTTTGTACTGTATGAGTTAGAAGTTTCCCGGTAGGTTATTAGCAAAGTTAAAAGCGATCGTAAGAGGAAAAAAAACACGTGGTTCAAGACTTTGATCTGACGGGCGTACCTTTCTCCCGAGCAGTGAGCCACCCTCCTCTTCTGATCGAGGGAAGACGCGGGCGCCACACGTTTATTAGTGGTTCTCGTTATATTCTTTCTAACTCTGTATCTTCCGGTTACCTTAAGCTATCAAAATTATTTTTACACGGAAAAAACCGGACTGTTGTGTTCTAAAAGAAGATATTAGCTATTTTTCGGTGCCGTTTGTAGCTCTTTTTGAAAATTTGTTTTATTGAAATGAGCTTTTTGCTGATTACCACCTTAATTAAGGGGAGTCAACTGCTGATCTCTGCATCGATAGATTAACCTGTTTGGGTGTGTCACGCAGTGAAGAAGCAATGATGTTCTCTACCTCGGATGGATCAGTCGTGTGCTCACAGCCGAACTCGACGGATGCCTTGAACAGTGTCAAGTCGGTTTGACGATGTAGCGTGTGTGTGTGCGGCGAAACCACCTCAACTGAACATAGGTTGGAAGGTGGTCACTGCCGCGAGTGTCCAAATCTGTGCACCAGCATGCGGAAGACAGAAGGCTTCTGGAAAACAAAACAGTGGTCGAGGCAGCTGCTGCAGGACGTGCCACGAATAAATGTTGGTGATCCGTCGTTGAGCACGCATAGTCCGTAGTTGCATATAAAATTGGCCAAATCCCTTCCGCGATAATTCATTGTAGTGGTTGATGATGAGAGGATGATGTGCATTGAAATCGCCAATCACACTGTGTGGCCTTTCTGCTGCTTGATGAATGGTCCCCAGGTGGATGCAGTCTATCTGTGCGCTTGGGTGTATGTATCCTCCTATTACTGAAAATGTCCGCTTTTTATGAGTTATAGTCAGGCTCACGTAATCATTGCTGGTATGCGACGTGACTGCATATCTCAAGAACATCAAATCACGGCGTATACAAACAAGAACTTTGCTTGTACGTTGATCACTGCGGGACCAAATCTAGATATATCCAGATATACGAAAAGTTGAAACCATATTCGGTTCACATATCACGATAACAGGAAATTGATATTTAAAAACCCATTGTCTGAAGTCCGACAGACGGCCACGTGGACCACGAGCATTCCATTGCATAACAAGCAACTGGCGCATGTGTTCTTCGAACATCAATGCCATATTCACATAATGAAGAATAAGTAGAAGAGGCTCCAAAACCTCAAGTAGCTGCACAGCCGCCTTAGCAGTGGGTATATTTAGGCTGCTGAAGATCTTACGCATCGAACTCATGAAAATTTTAAGTAATGACTTGACATGTGTGTTGTCCATCTTCTTGTTATCTTCATTGGGGGTAGCGGCCCCATTGGATGATGGCACTACGGCGGCTCTTGACGGTAGTGAAGGCCACTGAGTCTCCGACGTGGTGAGAGCCAATGACTGGTTGCCTTGTACATGCGTGGACTGTATTGGCACTTGAGCATCTGTATCCTCCTATCTGGCCGACAAAAGTAGGCTAGTAGGTAATGAGGGCACAGTTTTGTGTGTCGAATTCGATAAGCTATGAGCACTGCTGCTTCGTTTGCGTCGGTGTCGGGAACGATGTTTACGGCGCCGTACAGCCTTTGCAGCTTCTCTGTGAGTTCAGTGGTCTCGAACCATCTTGTTCAGGATACTAATTTCATTCCTCGTTTCAGGACATTCCTTTGATTTTGCGTCGTGGGCGCCTGAGCAGTTTGGGCATTTGGCCGCAGCATTGCAGTTATCACCATCACGAAGGCCACCGCAGGGCTTGCAGGTTACGGCACCCTTGCAAACTTCACTAATGTGCCCAAATTTTGTGCAGTTATGACAATGCAGAGGTTTCAGTACAAAAGGACGTACCGAGTGCCCCACGTACCCAACTTTTACATGTGTGGGTAACGTCTTCGACTGAAACACTACTTTAACACATCGCGTCCGTCTAAAGCGGTGGAAGCCAAGCACGGGAGCCAACGACGACAGCAGTTTCTCGAGACTCGAGTTTGTGATCTCCTCATCGACATCTTATATAACTCCTGTTGTCGTTTCTTTGTCGTACGCGGAGAATGCGCGAACCGGAATGTTTCCTAATTGAACAATCGCTTTCAGCGTGTCCAATAAGGCCTCCGCAGTGACATCCACAAACAGTATGTTCTTTCGAGTATTTATGCGTATTTCTACAACTTTAACTGTGGCGATGAGCTCAAAGTACTCCACCAGGCTCTGCCTATTCAGAGAGTTCAAGATGCGGTCTTCAATGTCGACACATACGAAATTGTGTACGACCGCATGCTACTCGCCTTTGTCTGTGCTTGCCGGCCAGTCGGCAATGTCCAGCTGATTTTCCTCTACAAGCGTCGGCTTCGTACGACCACGTAGTCGCTGTCCGAAGCCACATCTTCAACGGAAGAGTCATCAGAGTTGTCAATGTGGACCCCGCTTGGGCTGGGGTGAGAACTTGCGTCAGACGCACTATGATGTGGTGGTCCCAGTCCCGGTTGCTGGATGCGGTTTTGGTCCCCCATTCTAAGGCAGAACGTCCCTCCGCGGTGTGTGGATTATTGAAAAATCTTGATAAAGTAATGAGAAAACTCACAGAGCTCGAAGCAGAGGCTGTTCTCTGTGACCACTTCTTCTTCCTCCCCTTAATAATAAGGAAGCTCACAAACTTCCTAATTATTTATCTGAGAGCAGCTGTTTCACAGGGATGTTATACGCCATATAGGATACATATTTTCAAGAAACCACAGAATTGCACATATTTTGACATTAGCATCACCTATGTTCAATGGGGATATCGAGATCTTGTCTCTATATCATGAATCACGACGACTGGGCGTGACGATCGTGCGAAGTTATGTCCTAAGATCCACAATCTCTACGTTTAGGTCTCCCGCTAAAGCAAACGGTTCTTAAATCTTTATATTAGTCCCGCTTAACTGTGCCATCTCGGCTGCTAGGATGTTCCTTTTTAAGGACTCCAAATTCTTATCACCGTACCTAAGCTTACTTCATGACAGGAGGCATGCCGCGCATATTTGAATTTTATTTCATTTATTACTCATTGCGGCTTTCCTATTCGGTCCACGAATTTGAGCAAAAATATTTGGTTACACACTGTGCATGTTCACTGTACCCAGCCGTCCAGCGCGTTGAGCTATTTCTGGAGGACTAGGCGAGCATGATGAGCCTCAAATCAGTAACTAATGTTATGCCAATATCTTTGAGATTGTCGCGCCAAATCTAATGTTACGTAGCTTATTCGGACGCAGCAACAACTGTGGGCTATACACTATAATCTTTTTTGCGTGTTCTCTACCTGATTTTGCCTACCCTTCATGTCCGATTTCATTCTATAAACGCGCTTACAAGATGCGTCTGGCAATGTTGACTGTGTATTATTTCACAGTTTACATTTATTGGCTCTTTCATATCCAGATGACTCCTAGGAGTGCTGCATGATCATTACATTTAACCTTGATAGGTACATTGCTCTTAATGATTAGAGACCCCACATGTAGAGAATTCGTCACAGCAGTTATTCTTATAGATGAGCAAAAAGGTTCCACGTTTTTTAAAAACTGGAGCATGAAATTATTGAAAAAGAAACTAGTCATGCTGCCAACAATATTTCCTCACCTCCAAACGGTCTATGGTGGGTTTTTCTGCCAAGCTGTATTTAAATCCAACCAGTAAAAGGGAAAATAAGAAACGTGTGCCCGATGACTTCATCATGACAGCGTCTCCGCTCAAGCGCTAATACATGCTCAAAGTCGTGTACAAGAGATAGCAGGTCTTCTACGTAAGTCGTTAAATTACGTTCATATTATACCCATTTCTAACGGCTCACGCCAGATATAAACTGAACGTAGCTTTCATTGATGTAGACATTTCGTTCGAGTAAGGCACAGATGTACTGCTTCCACACAATAGTTCTAAAGCTTGCATATTGCAATCTCTCATGAGCGGCTAGACTTCTAACAGCTGTCGTAATTGTTTTGGTTTGTAATTGTTTTATATTCGTTATAATTAATTTACCCATGTGTTGCTATTCAATTAATTATTTGTTTACGTATTGTAAAGGAGAAAACTTTTAAAAAGTCGAATGTGCCGTCTAGAAAAAGAATGAGCGAAATAAAAATAAAAGAGCAAAAAGAATGAGCGAAATAAGCTAGTAAACGAATGTCATAATAATTTACTCTTAAGTAAGTATTCCGACAGTATGAAAAGTGGGTTAAAGTGTAGTCGTCTAAACAAAACTTATTCCACATTTTTCTGGTCAGATGATTACAGATGTCTGGTCTGGTCGACATCACAAAGTCTTGTTAGTATATTACGTCTCATTTCCTTTTTTAAATTTTTCTTGTAATGTATTTTTGCATATTGATGTGCATTTTAGATGCTATCAAAAAAAGTTGTGATAACTTCGTTCAACCCCTAGACTCGGTTATGTGCCATATTTTGAGAATAGAGAAACAAGTAGCATGATGACTGTGTTGGCTTCATGTTTCTCAGTGTTGTTACAATTTTCAAGCAGTCAACAGCGTGACTCTCTGCTAAACGCCTGAGAAGCTGACGGATCACGATCCGGTAGCGGCAACTGTGCACATTGCAGGGCTTAGTAGTGAAGATAAACCGCCATGTCAGTTTAGTGGTTATGATGCGTGACAGCTGACCCCCACGTCACGGAATGAAGTTCCCACCGTGGCAGCTGCATTTTATATGGAGACTAAAACGCTTGAAGCCCGTTCATTTGAATAAAGTGCCGGTTAATGAAGTCCAGGTGGAGAAAATTTTCAGAGCCTTCCAATACGCCGTCTTTCATGATCGTAAGGCTTTGCGGGGATGTTAAACCCAACAACTAATAATATTACTAGTGAAGAAGGCAACACAAGCGTAGGCACTCAAAGCGTAGATAGCTTTCCTCGGTACAATCATTGTTTTAAGAAGTAATGATATTTTTCAAGCTGTAGTCAGGCTGGAGGTAGAAAACAGGATCCTTTAAAAACATCTTTTCGGTGTTTATTATGCGGACAAGCCCCGAGTGACATCCGTAAGAACTAATACAACTAATTGAGCTATACCTCTTCGATGAATCATCATCGATGAGAACTCAGGGCTGGCTTGTCTTTGATGATCATACATGCAATAAAAAATTTTGGTAACACGATGTTGATAAACTATTGAGCACGCCAATTTGCTCGGGAGCCATCCAGAAGACGTGGCATGACAACAGAAGAGGCGGGAAAAGTATGGGCGGATTGCAGGCAAAACTATGTAGCAGCGTTCTCTGAAAGCAAGTTTGAATGTTGGGACTACGCATCAGCCGTAACGTACCTCTCGTGTCTGGTTATGGAATACTTTTTGGAGAAATGCGGGTAAATACATGTAGCAGACTATGCATTCGCAAACTGATAACTTTCGTGTCTGGTCATATTGGCACTTCCTGAACGCATGCAGCAATATGTCCAGCTTTGAACAGCTTGAACCTCCGAGGAGCTACTACAGATCATGAAGTGGTGTGTTTAACAGCGACGGTCTGCGGCATCAGTGTGAGCTCTGCTAAAACGCTTCCGGTCCCTGGATGGCAATAAACACTCGGCAAACCCGATTCTTTGGCGGGGTACAACACGAAAGAGAAGAAGCAGACATGAATTAAAGGAATATTTGACATCATTTCCCTCGTCCACCGCGGCGGAGCCGTTGCTATGATGCTCGGCTCCAGATTCGAAGGTCACAGGTTTGATCCCGGCCGTGACAGCCACATTCCGATAGAGCCGGAATGGGTGAAGCTCGTGTACTGTGCAATGGCAGAGGACATTAAAAAACAGCAGGCTGGCCGAATTTCCCGATAATTCAAATATGGCATGTCTTGTGATATTATCATGGTTTAGGAATGTAAAACTTCACATATTCTTGGTATCTGGTATCAAATACAAAAAAAAACAATTGTTCTCGCTTACAGAGCCACGCTGTTGCACGTGCCTATGTGGTATAGCGTGGAGAACGTGATGTCTTCATCGATAGCAGTCCATCTGTGACGAAAAGAATGAGATAATTATTCTTGCACTTATTATAGTAAAAGAATGGCTGGCCATTAAATGTGGCTACAATAGAATGAACCAAGTGCACGTTGAATAGGCAAACATCCTTATTGCGTGTTGAGTAGCGAACCATGGTTAACATCCCTGCCTTCTCAATCGTTGTCCTTCCTTCCTTCCTTCCTTCCTTCCTTCCTTCCTTCCTTCCTTCCTTCCTTCCTTCCTTCCTTCCTTCCTTCCTTCCTTCCTTCCTTCCTTCCTTCCTTCCTTCCTTCACTTCTATCTTTCTTTCTTTCTTTCTTTCTTTCTTTCTGTCTTTCTTTCTTTCTTTGTTTCTTTCTCCCTTCCTTCCTTATTGTGTGTCAAGGCAATATCACCACTCTAATAGCATTGGTTTCACGTGGAGAACAGAGAGTTTCTTTTGTATCATCCAGTTATGCAAGAACTACATTTCAAACCCGATTGAGACGGGCAAGATACCACGCAAGATCCATTTCCGCTGTCCACTATCCTTTCCATCGACGATCCCCCCTGTAAGCCTCCTGCAGCAGGAGATGTGATTCGTGCGTACCCTGGATCACATTGCTTAGGCGGATATTCGAAAATGACCTAAATGGTTTAAGTTCCATTTGAGCAAGGAAAAAGCGCCGTAGGGAAGCGGGAGAGCTACAAAATGTCGAAAGAAAATGAATCTGTGACTGAAGGAAGAGTTACAAAATCCTTGAGGCTGGCTGCATACGCTTTCTATGTGTCGCTGTGGATAGACGATTGTGCGTGAGCACCGACGTCTGGGCTCTTCTTGGTATGCGTGGGCGAGGTAGGAAGTGCTAGGGTGTTGGCGGAATAGTGATCATTGTATAACGCCAAAGAGGTACGGCGAAACATGTGTCGCTGAGCCGGTTTCAAATAAAAACATTCACAGCATATCTATGGAGTTACCAATGGTAAGTGGGGTGAAGTGTTCACCCGTCCGTCTATATGTATAACAGAGTGTCTGTCTGTCGATCCACTCATATCACACTGGGGCATTCATTCAACGGACGTACGCTTCACCCCAATCATCATAATTCACTACCATGGCTATGCTTTGAATTTCTTTATATAACAGCGCCATCTCTTCTCTTAATTTGTCAACTATACAAAAAATACTGATGTCATGTATTGATAATATTTCCAAGGACATATACAAACAACGCCATCTAGTGAGCCATTCCTAAAACTAACTAGAAATAGCTCCTACAACATAATAATGCAGAGGAGGGAACTACCTACACCCTTAGGAGCTTGGTCCCTATAGGAAAACATCGATCAACTGGACATGTAGGCAAGCGTCACAGAGATAGAGTTATCGAGCACGGGGCCAGATCCAACATCACGATCTTACTCTGGCAGTTTGTTGGCGCTCGTCACGGCTCGCACAATCGCGGAGTGTTTCCAGTGTAGACATACCCCCCCGCCCCCCCTGATCCTGGCAGCTGCTTTTGGCGTTCTTCTTGGGGGCTGATCTGGACTTTTTCCTGGTGCTCGTCTGTCGCAGCACCTGATGCTATTGTAATTGCCTTTTTTACGTAACCAATAATGTGCGAAGTTTGAGAGCTTCGTCACAATCTTCCACTGCATTGTTTGCCATAAAAAGTCGAAGTTTTGGCAGAAGGCTGAAGCAATGAATGCGATTGCAAAACATCATGCTGGTGTACGAAGTAAAGCAAGGAGATTTATGAACCATACGAAATGTAGTGAACATAGTCGATTCTGCTTGAATTGAGGGTAACGCCTTAACCACGATATCTAAAGACGTATTGTTGCGAATATTTGGTTGCGAGACGTAGCGCATTAACCACAATATCTAAAGACGTGTTGTTGCGAATATTTGGTTGCGAGACGTCTGAAAAGAGGTGAAATCTAAGTTAGGCATAAAGAAACGCGACAATTCACTGTTTTTCACGTCGAAGTACATTAACGTTGAACTCTTGAGTGCCTATAACCGGAACATCCTGTACACATACCACATAGAACTTAGCAGCAAAAAGTTCGGGACATCGGTGCGCAAGGTTTGCGATGAGATGTACACTGTGGCGACGACAAAACTGTGCAATATTTTAACGGCGTAAGCATGACCACAATCTATCTGGGGCAGCGAGTTGAGTCTGTTTGTTTAAAGTGAAAGTGATGGGGCACAATTCGGTGGGATGTGAATAAACAGGCAAGACAGGCAACTTCCTGAATAATTTCTGACTTGACGCGAGCAACTTTTCCTGTTGCTTCAGAATGGAGACGGAGCCAAAAACACTTTTTATAGCCCCTTTTATCCAAATTTATGTGCTCCAGTGAACCAAACCCTTCATCAATCAAACCATCGGACACGTCAGTGTTTAGGGAAGGCATGTATGGCTTGTCCAAAATAAGTACAGCCGCCCAAACGTTTTATCGTGCGTGAGTGCCAATTGTTTCGTGCGTCAGCGCATGTGTCGACGTTCTCGCCATGGAGCACCCAAGCTGACCATGAGCCCAGCTTAGCGTGCTTCATGGGCATGCGCTTACTTTAGCCTAATTAGCACCTTGGCTATAGTTATAGCGCGAGAACAAAATGACGACACAGAGACAAGAAGGACACAAAGAACACGGTCCTTCTTGTCTCGGTGTCGTCGTTTTGTTCTCGCGCTATCTATCGTGATGCCATACCAACTAGCTCAAGCTGCCACACTTCTAAGTTTCACCTTGGCGTCGTCGTACGGCGCTGATGCACAAGAACATTGGCACTCGCGCAAGATAGCTCGAGATTTGGTTGGCTGTACATGCTTTGTTCAAGAGTGTTTCTTTTAGGTTCATTGACTTTCAGTAAGCCAGTTAAAATGGTTTATATAAAAAGCTTGCCGTTAGCGAGATTGACAAATTGGTGCTGCCTTGTTAATTAGTGCAGTGCGCTCAGGAGTCAGGTACCACTGGTTGAAATCCCAGGCTGATGCCTTGGACATTTTTTTCTCCCTCTTTAGTTTGCTTTGTGCCTTTTATGTACATATGCTGTAAAAAGTAAATCTATAATATAGAGTACAGAATTCTTCTTTGCAAACTCTATATCGCCATGTCCCTTGTATTTGATCAACACATGGGGTTTTTTTCCACGGTCTTGAAAAATATCATATATAAAATATACGGGTACGGCTCTGTAAGCGGTCCAAAAACAGTTATTTACACCATTCATAAACATCGAATATGAAAAGTCTAAGATGACGCATACGAAACTTCGAACATAAAGTTCCTCGCTCCGCGCGCTTCGCATTGCTCGAAGCAACAACATTTAAAGTGTACCCTCGCACGCGTCACACCATCTCGCTAATCAACGAGAACACGTGGAAGTAGCCGAGCTCTGAGCATAGGTCGGCGAAAATTGTGGAGCGCGCTCACAATCATACATGAAATATCTTTCGCGCTTTGAACTCGTTCGGACGCGGAGCCACAAAAATTTTTCTGAGCAAGACTTTGTCGGACTCAAACTCATGAAAATTTTCTTCGACCGCACTCACTCAGACTCAAGCTTACCAAAATATCACTCGCCATGACATACTCAGTCTTATACCTCGGTTTGAGTAAGTCCTGGTGAGTCGAGTCATGAGTGAGTATGCTGACATACGGCACTGTGTACCACCGACAAGACAGCAACATTTGTGGCGGTAAAATGTATTTTTAAATAACAAAACTAAAACAACGATGCCCTACCTGCTGTACCAAAGTATTGCAGGCTACCAAATTTTATTTAGAAAATGAATAGCACAAGTGTCAAATTGTATTCTTGAAGAAGAAAATAGAGAAAACAAAAATAAAGACACCACCACCTACACTGCCAAACACCTCCAAGGGAATGAGTGAGGAACTTCGCGTCACAATATACACCGTATAACGCTATTCAGAAATATATACTGCCCCGCCACGGTGGTCTAGTGGCTAAGGTACTCTGCTGCTGACCCGCAGGTCGTGGGTTCAAATCCCGGCTTCGGCGGCTGCATTCCCGATAGAGGCGGAAATGTTGTAGGCCCATGTACTCAGATTTGGGTGAACGTCAAAGAACCCCAGGTGGTAGAAATTTTCGGAGCCCTCCACTGCGGCGTCTCTCATAATCATATGGTGGTTTTGGGACGTTAAACTCCACAAATCAATCAAATCGATCAGAAATAAATACTCGGACTAGGCCTTTACTTTCAAACGCTTCTGTGACAAATCCATTTTCCCCCGCTCGTTATTCTCTTGTTTATCTTGGTTCCAACCTTCCATGCGAAATCATTTATTTTCCTTGTCGTTTTCTCTTATGTGCTTTCACCGACAGTAAATGCTGTATATAATAAATGGCTCGCCATTAACACTTCGAAGAACATACGAACATAAAGAACTTTAAACGCAGTCATTTCGCACCGCGTGCTGCATTTGCAGCGAGAGGTCTTAGGTTCGACTCCAGGTGACGAAACTTTTTATGTTAGCTTTTTTTGCCATCTGTCAACGTATGTTTTGCAACGTTGTGCATGCGACGGGAATACGTCAAGGGAGCCGTGATATGCAGACCACCGAATGAAACACTTTCGTGTTAAACAAGTGGCATTATTACAATTCGGTAATGTTTAATCGTCTCAATTGTTTTCGAGATATTTATTATGTGTACACGAGTCTACCGGTTCGTTGAATTCACTGAATTTTATTAGGCTTGAACATTTATCAACTGCCGGAGGGCCACAATGTTATACGTTGACAAGTACCTTGCTCCTCAAGATTTTGCTCATTCCTTCCGAAAAGGTCTCCAATGGCATGTGCTGCATATTCCTATATGTCTGGAGAAATCGTGTCAGAGTTGTAGGGGGCTATGATCAGCGCAACTGCAGAGAAGAATAAGAAAAACATATAGTCGGTTGCACTTAGACCGGGGATTTTGATATAGAGCATGTATATAATTGTAATCACGAAGAGTTGTTTGGAGCGCAGACGTTAAGTTCCGTCACTGTTCCTATGACAGTTCACCATTAAAACAGATTATTCAGCTGTGACGTCAATGTTCGCTAAGCAGCACCTCAAACACAAGTTCGCATGGTGGATAGTACGGCTGCAAGACTACACTTGTAGTATTTGTCACCGCGCAGAACCTCAAAATCAGGTTGCGGATGCCTTATCGCGAAAACAAGTGGAGAAACGCTCAATGCAAATACGCGAAGACTGGATAATGCTCTACCGACAAGAATTTTCGACTGCCTAACGTGCCGATAAATAATTATTCCTCATTAAAAAGTCGTTTTCAGGCACTGGACACAACGCCGAGTTTTCTTTAGGCGAAGGCACGCTCTATTGTGGTCGTTAGATAGAGAAGCAGGACGAACATCAATTTTTCGTCGTTTCTATCTCTTTGCATTCCAGTATTCTGCGTGCCACCAGAAGAAGGCCACATAAGCTACTGATCAACCTTGCACAAAGCACAAGAGCGTTTTAGTGGCTGAGAACGGACAGGAATGTGCGCGCCTATGTTGCACGCTCTGACGTCTGCCTACAACACAAATGGTGTCTGGGCTGTCAACCTGGTTTACTTACGCCTATTACCTCTTCGGATACTGTGGGAGTAGGCCACATTGGGCCTTTTACAACATAGGCAGATGATAGCAGGTGTATTAGAGTCGATGTTGACTTCTTGTCAAGGTATATATAGGTCGCTGCCAAGCCCTCTCTTGCTGCAAGCTTCGTCATAAAGTTTCTACAGCACTGCTTAGAATGGAGACATTAGGTTTCCTAAGAAGCTCATCTCTGACAGATCGACGACTTTCTGCAGCTGTGAGCTCCGTCCTTATATACGCAGAGGGGAAGTTGTGGAATGGTACGCAGAGAGGAAGTTAATGGTACGCAGCCGTGACTTCCGCAGAGCGGAAACCAAGGCTGCGTACCATCCACAAGCGAATGACCTAACAGAGGTAACTTGGAATCTCGACTGGCGCCGTACTGAAAAAAAAAACTGGTGAGGCAGATTAGAAAGTACACCTCAACAGAGCTGCATACGAAGTAAACACGGCCTTGCAGAGTTCAGTCGGAACATCCTCTTAGGAAGTCGTCTACGTCCAGCCATTAAAACAAGGAGCTACCATCTACTTACACAAGCCCGCGCAAGCTAATCTCCCTGCCGCAAGAGAAACATATTGCCGCAAAGTACAAAGCAAGGCGCGCAAGAAGGTTGTGGATTCTACGAACCAAGAACTGCAAGAACGTCGTGAATTCCCAACATGCGCAAAAACGACATTTTGACCACCGCCATCGTCGACCACCGCCACACTACATCGGTGATGAGGTGTAGGTGCAACGAGTGACACCGTCTTCATCAAAGAAATTGTGCACAGTGTTCGAAGGACCATTTGCTATAAACAAGTGGGCGAGAACAGTTAGCGAGTGCGGTCTTTGGATGCTGACTCACACACAGACAAAAGAAGGTGAAATAACTTTGCCGTACATGTGTCACGGATGAAGCGCTGTGTACGCGGAGACAACTGAAGTGCAGTAATCTGTTGTTCTCCCCAAATTACACCTTCCGCAGAGTGACCTAGTGTAATGACGAGCAGCGTCAAAGAAGCGTAAGGCCGAGGAAGATGGTCATAATAAAAACAGCGGGCCTGGAATAGAGGTGTTGCTTCTTGATCTCTAAATAATATCTATATAATTGTGTTAAGATATCATTGAAAAAGATATTTGTACCTCGGTATGCGGCATTACTTGTACGACGTATCGGTTATAAAAATGCAAATATCTTAGAAGGTTTACTTTTATAAAGGATAACCATTTTGCTTAAACTGTCTGATTATTTGTCTAATTTCAAGAACTATACCCATCTAAGCACTGTGATCGGATTGTCAGACTCCCATTCACGTTTTGCATAAAAGTGTTTTTATTAGTGCGATAGCATGTTGTGGAAGCAAAACTGAAATTAGAAATGATATTGTCTTGAAGCATCCGGACTGCTTGCGTAGTAACAGATATGTGTGAATACTTCAGCTCCATGCAAATATAGGTTGCCGCTAAGTATGGTGGTATGAGCTGAAAAAAATGAGAACATTACTTGACAATCCGTAGATGCCACCAATAGGTTACTTTTATGCGTCTTTCTTGTGTACTAATGCAGCCTAATCCTTACGTACATGAATGAGCTCCCTTCAAACGCTTGATGCTGCCATGCTCTACGACGTGAATTTTACATGCCCTAATGAGTAGCCAAATGCTCCATTGCTGTCTAACTGGTGTATCGGTTATTCGCGACTCCATGCGGGGTATATTTCGCAGATGTATGCGTTGAAAATCTATAAAATTATGGAATCTTTTTCACGCTGCAACAACCTCAATGTGAAATCTCTCTGTGACGCATCAAGCATCCGCCTTTTATTTAGAGCTACAAAAAAAAACGTTCTTGAAGGCTGGTAAGTTCACGCTTTGAGTGATCTAAAATTTACGCAAGGAAAACCAAGACAGGCTGAAGCAATGAGCAAGTCCTGTGGAGCCTTGGCCGTACTTTCCACCTCTCCTGCTTTTTCGTGGTGCCTAAACCTTAATAAATGTTGTATTCAAAGCGAAGAGCTTATTTTTGTAAGACTGCTTAGACTTACCGAGTGCGCTAGCAAGCCCCATAGCAAGGTACCGTGCAAGGAATCCATTCATGTCCCACAACTGCAAAGATGAAATATAGAACAAGTTACGCACGTGAAAAGCTCAAATGCACGCAAAATAATGTGCGTTAGACCACATTGGGCGGAGATCTTACCACTGTGCGCTGCCCTTTGCATCAAATAAAAATGGATAAATGGAGCAATAAATGCAAGTACTTCAGTGTTTTTTCAGGTTACTTTTCTATTTTAAGACCTGACAATTTCTTCGGAAGAGCCATAACAGAATATATAACGTGTGCGGTAACAACACAGACACTTTCACAAAAAAAAATAGGCTGAAAGTGTAATTTGCCTGACGAATGTAGTAATTTTACATGAAAAGTTAAGTGTCCTAGTTTTCAATGAAAATTAAAATGTTAATAGCATGACGAAGTCGTGCATTTGCTCATACAAGCCTTTGAAAACTGTGTGGGGTCGTTTTAAAATCTGTAAATCATAAAAGTAAATTTTTTCACCGTGTTTTGAGATGGTGTTTATTCAGCCGCTCTAAAAACATTTATTAGACGAAAAGTTGAAGAACCTAGTTGCCCATAAGAGATCGTTCTACGGAAGGCACGGCCAGCAACTGCGGTGGACCCCTCTTAGGAAGGTGTCTGACCAGTTGTCCAGGACCAAATAAAGTTCATTTCACTTAACGCAAGTAACTTACTCACACACGCACATGGGGCAACGCTGATGCACTACCTCTTGAGGGTCGTAAATCACAGACATGCACATTCCACAGAACACACACGCGTACACTGTCGTCATTTATGAAAGGGGACACGCGAACACGTGGCCGGCGCTCTGCGGCGGCTGCCTACAGAATAATCCACCGACAGCAAAATGAAAGACGTTCGCTTTCAGCTTCATCTGTTGCCGAAAAAAATAACGAGTTACGGCGGGTAGACAAGCGCTGATAGATTGCACACTTTCTCTGCTCACGCCTACAGTGCGTAGTCCACTGCCAACATATCAAACGTTGTTCGCGACCATGGAGCAAGTTGCAGTAATCGTCCGATATCGCTCGCGCAGTGAGCGATTAGGGGACGTAATCTACCAGCGCTTGTCTATGGACAATATCTCGTTAACTTGCTTGGCCATAAATGACGCGAAAAGCGAACGTGCTTTCTTCACTTGCCGATTGATGGTGCAGTAGGCAGCCGCCGCAGAGCGCAGGCCACGCGCTCGCGTGTTCCCTTTCATGAAGAATGACAGTGTACATTCAGGCTTCGCATTCACTTTACTGCATACAATTGACCACGACGACAATCGTCGAGAGTGGCCATCCTGGCGACGAAGAGAATAGACGCCGTGTTGCTGCTTCACGCTGCCAAACAGACTTTGATTTGTAGGGTTTAACGTCCCAAAACCACCATATGATTATGAGAGACGCCGTAGTGGAGGGCTCCGGAAATTTTTGACCACCTGGGGTTCTTTAACGTGCACCCAAATCTGAGTACATGGGCCTACAACATTTCCGCATTCATCGGAAATGCAGCCGCCGCAGCCGGGAATTGAACCCGCGACCTGCGGGTCAGCAGCCGAGTACCTTAGCCACTAGACCACCGCGGCGGGGCTGCCAAACAGACTTGAAGTGGTGAAGCTCTGCCACTTCGGTGCACTTTAAACGCTGAAAAATCATTAACGCCAGCATCTAATGATAGCCGACGACGATGATGCTGAGGGCGAGTGGATGAAATAACTTCTTTTAACGAAGAAACCACAGAAAACTGAATGGACGCCTGACGATCTCGGTGCAGCGGCACATGACCTCTCGTCGCGAATGGCGCCATGCTGAATATGTCATTTGTTCACCGCGACTCTTACATCATAGTAATGAGCAGTCGCAGTTGGACGCGCATAATACAAATGAACAGTCGTAAACTTTACTTTTTATTCTTAGCTTGTCACCGACTATAGGGTCGGCGGGCCGCAGTGTGCAATGAAATGCTGTGTACAGAAAGCCAGCAAAACAAAAGAAATTAAAAAAATATGCGCGACTTTCTTGGAATGGCCACATAAAAGAAGAGCGGTACAGTTTCAAAACTTGCTACTGAAAATCTGAAACTGTCTTCGTTTGGGCTATAAGTGGCGTCGTCATGATCAACGCTCCAGATTCAACTCTGATTGAGCAGGAAAAAAAGGCAGATCTCACGTATGGTGGTAATCGATGGTATGCGAAGCACAAGTGAGGATGGGTGATATGTCACATTAAAATGAGCACAAACTTAGAGGTGGAAGCAAACGATGCTGTACATTACTTCCGTGTCATGATTATCATGCTTGTATGTGTCATTTACCTTCGTCATCTACTCACGCCACGTGATACCACAATTAGTATATAACGAGCTAGCGAAATGGCGGAAGCACGCATTGAGCGTGGTATGTTGTCATTTTCCTAAATGACACGAATGTCACCATTATCGTGTTTGCACCATTAATATACTTTCTTCATACATTGGCGTAACGTAACACCAAAGTTGGTAAATGTGGAGCTAGCAAAGGGGCCGCGAGCGCACCATGAAAGGCTTAATACACTCCAATGCAGCGTTGACGCGCACGCACACTGGGGACAGCGGTGCTACGTTAGCAAAAACGCGAGCACTCTATAGTACGACTCCAGGCACGACCGGTGTGACCAGCGTCCGTCGGCGCTGCCCAAGGACGACCGGAGCGAAATTCGTCATGCTGCATTTCATGCCGATGCATTACCCAGACAACACTGCATCTCCCTCTTTACGTGACGGAGGGATGCCGGTTGCGCTGAAACGTGCATGCGTCAGAGCAGCGCAGCGCGCCGCGTGCCTGCGAGAATATGGAAGGACCGGTGCCTGGCGTGGCAATGCCGGCGTGACGCAACAAAATGAACACCGGTGATCACGCGCACCGAATCACGTTGAAATGTATTGTCGCCTTTAGGCCGCGTTCACACTGAGCATTCCGGCCGCCGAAAGTGCTCCGAATCCGGTTCGGCGGCGGCGAGATCCGCCGAAAGGGCCCTTTCCGCGCCGATCGCTCTCGGACCGACTTTTGTGGCGTCTGCTGCCGAATCGGTCACCGTGGACCAATAGGAGAGATATTCAAGGAATTTTGAGAAATAGCGGCCAAGCCCTACTCACTTGTTATGCCGCAGTGCACGTAACTGAATATTGAAACCAACGGGAGTTTAACCTACTCTGTGCCTACTTCGCCTCTGTATTTCGTGAAAGAGGTGACCGAGCTTGCTGTTGGCGTGACCGAGCTTGTTACGGTCTTTCAGAGCAAAACGAACCTACCAACGCCGCTGGCGTCGGTGGTTTTTCTGCTCTTCGTGCATTACAAGACAGCCACTTGCCAGCAAAGTAAGCAGTACTGTCTTTTCTTGCTTCTTGCGTACAAGAATCGTCGAAGTATACACCACCGGATAGCGTAGTAGCGTTTGCGAGCCGCGACAACAACCGGGTGACAGCGCATCAATCCCGCGTTCGCCCCGTAGTAGATGTCACACTCGGCGGCACGGGGCGCGTCCAGTGCGAACGACGCTGCGATTCGGCGGCAGGAGAATTTGAGTCGCTGTAGAAAGCGGATGTTTCAGTGTGAACTAGGCATCACTGTGGAAAGTAGTCATGATCTCACGTAACACGCATCTCACGATTATCATGTTTGCACTAGTCACATACCTTCGTCATCCATTGACGTCACGTAAGAACGAATTTGGCATATGTGAAGCTAGCGAAACGGCCGTGGGCGCATGACACACATGTCGTATTTATTATGTTTGGATGTATTATTTACCTATGTCGTCCGTTCGGGTCACGTAATACCGAGTTTAGCACATGTGAAGCTAGCGAAATGGCCGCGAGCGCATTAAGAGCATAGCATGTAGTGATGTTGTTACATGACACGCATGTCATGTTTGTCATGTTGGTACAAGTATCATACCTTCATCATCCATTCAGGTCCCGTAATACCAAGTTTGGTATAAGTGAAGATAGCGAAATGGCTGCCAGCGCATCTTCAGCGTCGGATGTAGTCATGTTGCTCTATGACACGTATCTCATGATTATCATGTTTACACCATTCACATACCTCATTCATCCATTCACGTACTGTAATAACAAATTTCATATATGCGACACTGGCGAAATGGCCGTGAGCGCATCATGAGCGTGACATGTAGTCATATTGTAACCTGACACGCATGTCATAATTTTCATGTTACGGTCTGTTGCTAGAGTTCGCCATGCAATCATTTCACAGCATGCCAGTTTTGCAACATGCCATACGAACGAAACCACCGCAACAGCTGCAGGACCACAAAATGTAAATTATGACATTAATTACATACATGTCATGATTTTCATGTTATGACTAGTCAGATATGTTCTTCGTGCAGTCATGTTATGCCATACCAAGTTTGGTATCGATAGCATTATCGAAACAGTCAGGAAAGCTAAAAGTCTTAGGTGGCTAGATAGATAGATAGATGGATAGATAGATAGATAGATAGATAGATAGATAGATAGATAGATAGATAGATAGATAGATAGATAGATAGATAGAGTCAAAGTCGGCGAAGTTCGCTAAGAAATGCCTTCGCATTTAAAATTTCGGCGGAATTACATCTCAACTTGACGTGGCCAAACGTAACAAAATTCACCAGAATTCTACAGTCTTCTACCCCTAAGCAGGCGGAAAGCGAGGCCACGAGCAACGTTGTTCTCTCACCGATTTTTCTTACTAATGGTGAAAGCGCTACGTCCTTGCGCCTCTCCAGGACGTGTTTTATGACTGTACAGATTTCTTGACCGCCCAGCCGGCTGCCAAGTTGTCTTACACATGAATGACGGAACAGAACAAAGTTGCTCTCTATGGTCCCATTCATGAAACTTCCAACTTCCTCGTCTTCTGTAAACGTGTGCGTTAATGAAGCAGCCATCAAGGAATGCGGGCGCCTGGAACTCGCTAAAAACGAGTGCATCATACAACAGTTGGCACACTAACCTAACATCGCGCCGACCTCGTCCTGCGCTGATGCTCCCT